GCTGCTGTCCTCAGAGGTTCATCACACAAGCTTTACTGTCAAGACTAATTCTCCACAATCTTATCTTTTAAAATCTAAACTAATCGCCCACCTGTGTTACAAACTCAGATTAATATCCATTAAACAATTCATTTAGAATCTCTTCTAAACCATTTAGAAGTGTATGTCACTTAAGGAAATTTTAACTTAAAAAAATAAACTAAAGTACCAAATAAAATAGCCTTTTTTAATTAAAAACATTCAAATTTTGAATGGAAATAATAATAATTAGTATATTTACCTCTTTCTGAATGGTCTGATCATTTTCAACTTCACAAGATAAATGTGGCTTTTGATTTGCCGGTTGCTTTTTAAGATGATCTAAGGTTGTGTTTTTTTTTTGTTAACTGCAGATATATTTAGCATGGAAACAGATTATGCGTAAATATAGGTAGAGATAGTCTTGAACATTATTTTTAACATAATGAACAAATATTTAATCTATCTCTGAGCACATTATGAAATTACACAAATGTGCCAAATTAGCATGTTGGCCTGATTATCTGTAGTTCATTGTTGAGAATAATCAAAGGGACATTACATTCAATAAACATCTAATAAACACTGTATATATTTCTATGTTTATGAAGGAAAATAAACCTTTGGGAAGAAACAGGCCCATCTAGTGTCCTCTGTCTGTGATGTCAGGTTATCTCTCTCAGCTCCACCCATGAAACCAGGAAACGAAACTTAAAAATCAGTCTGGATCAGGTTACAGAAAAGAGAGAATCTGTACGGAGGAACAGATGCAGGAGCTCTGCCAGATGTGGCCCAACACCTGGGCAACCTGTCCTTCAGAGTCTGGGAGCAGATCAAGGAGAAGCTCCACTTCAGCCCCGTCATTCTGGACCCAAACACGGCAAGTCCAGGTCTCTATCTGTCTGATGATCTGACCAGCGTGAGATGTGGAGACACAAAGCAGAAACTTCCTGAAAACCCAGAGAGAAACTCCACATATCCTTCTGTGTTTGGCTCTGAGGGCTTCAGCTCAGGGAGACACAGCTGGGAGGTGGAGGTGGGAGATCATCCACGCTGGAATGTGGGTTTGGTTAAAGAGTCAGTTGACAGGAAGGGAAAGCTGTACGCTTCACCAGAATATGGAATCTGGTGTTTATGGCACGATGATGGAAAATATGTTGACTGTGCTGGTAAGGCTTTCAGAGTGAAGAAGAGTCTCCAGAGGATCAGAGTCCAGCTGGACTATGACATGGGGGAGGTGTCCTTCTACAACTCTGAAGACATGACTCACATCTACACTCACAGAGACACTTTCACTGAGAAACTCTTCCCTTATTTCTGCGTTTACCCAGCAGGAAACGCTAAAACATCCGATATCAAAATCTGTCAGAATTTGGATGATAATGACCTTTTCAAAGATTGGTGAAGTCATTTATTGGGAAATATGAATTTTTTCTATAGTTAGATAAAGAATAATAAAAATACTAATACTACATCATAAATGTGATTTTTTAGAGAAACATTTAAATGAGTGATTATTGATATGAATCCTTTCCATGATAAAAAAAAAAACGCTTTCCTTCCTCATGAACCTGTTTTTACTCATCAGGTGTGGCTGCAGAAGTAACAGCATTTTCTTTGAAGAGTTTCTGAAGCTGTTCTTTACGTTTTCTGTAAGTTTCTGTTTTATTACACAAAGGAAAATAACAGTGATGGACATAAATAAGTTTAAAAGAAAGGTGTCACTGACAGAGGATCAAAAACTTTTGGTTCAGTAAATCAAATGATGTCAAATGATTGATGATCAAATGATTATTTCATGTTTGTATACAGATCATATGAGGACAAGAATTGTTATTTGTTCATATTTTGTATCCATGATTGAAAATTAACTGGTAAAGATGTGATAAACAAGTTATTTTTATATTAGAGAAGAACTGTAATAGTTTCAGGTGGAGTGCTTCTTAAAAAGGTATGTTCAATTTTGTTTTCCAAGTTAATAACAACAGTGATTAATCTAATGAAGAGTAAACTTCCCTTTGTAAATAAATTCTTCATCACACATTGTGTACTGACTGAGTTTGTTTCAGAGCTAATTTTCTTTTTTTATACAGAGAATATATGTTTAAACAAAAGTTCACCAACTGCTGAGGTAAAGAGTGGCTCTAAATTCTCATATTATATGGCTTTACTCAATGAGCATCAACCTTTAAAGTTCAAGATAAACCCCAAACTCTGCCCAAATGTTCCATTTTTTAAAACTGACGCTAGTCAGTCTGGTTTAAAGAGTTTTTAACTCTCAAAAGACTTAATTCACACGGTGCTTTGTCATTTGCTGCCATTATGTGATTTCTATGTGGGATAATTCCAGAATATCACAGCACAGTTTGCTAACAGCTAATCACCGGAGCTAAGCTAGCCGAAGAAAACGTAAACAAATAAACGTCACTTCCGCCTTGAGCCTATTGGTCCGCTGCAGTGAAACGTCACCGCGTCCGCCATCTTGGATTTGGCAGATCTGCCCGTAAACTAATAAAAGGAAACGGACTGAACTCCATAAAGCGCCTTTCTACAAAGTGCTTTAAGTGAATGAACCTTATTCACCATTTCACACACACACTAATATATCTGGGAAGCAAGTTGGCACCAAAAAAACGTCCATAACTTATAAAGTGAGGTTTCTAAATGTTTCCTCCTGATGTTTAGGATATAAGGAAGCACCAAACCAGCGTCTGTAGTTTTAATGCTGAGAGTTTTCAGCTACTAATGTTTATAACTCTTTTCCTGTAATATGAATATTCTAAAATTGAAATTTAACATGTAATCTGTGTCCATAGTAACCAGATCCTGAAAAGTAGATGTGACTTCAGGGATTTCTGGATAAAGAGCACGAACATTTACATTTAATTG